ATCAACCTCACCATTAGATCCCACTACCTTTTATACACTTTTCTTATACATGTCAGAAGTATGCTAAGGTAGTATCTTCTCCTCATGTCCTCATGACCTTGAGTATTCACACAAAACTTTGTTGAGTTCTCCCATAGTATGCACATTTGTGATCTAAATAATTACTGCTTGACTACCCATGACAGATCATACCATTCTGCCAGTAACTACACATCCCAGACTGAACTCTTTTGCAGGCCTGCAAATTATACCCGTCGATAAATAAATTGAGATGGCACAAGCTACAAAGTTCATCCATCCATCCATTTTGCCTGCTAGCACTATGAATTTCAAATATAAAGAAATGACTCTCGCTTTCAAACTGTTTTAAGCACTATAACCATCAACAACTACCATCTTCTTTTTCATTTAAAAGCTTGGCTTGTGCAATCCAATAAACTCACATTAGTTCATAAAGACAATGGGTGGAAGATTTGAACTGATTTCACACCACACAGTGCCTGGGGATGCCTTCTAGGATCGTTTACCCTCCTGCTGGGTTTAAACTACTCAACAATGTTCTTCATAACATGTTTTAATGCTTTGTCTTGCCGTGTCTGGATGACTATCCATTTCTGCAGTTCCCTTCAACACCAAGGCTCAACATGTTTCCAAAGTCCCTCAGTGGTAGGGACTCCCTTGTCTAATCCAAAATGTGTGATTTGAGTGTCTCTTTAACTGGCTTCTTCATCTCTGGTGGCCAGTTACTGTGTTTATGGATTTTACCAGCAAAGTCGGTAAACCCAGTTCTGGCACATATCTGTGATGAGTGCCACATTTTACCAATAAAAACGACACTGTTATGGCAGTACAATTTATTATTCTTACACTCTCTTCAAATGATTAACCTGCACTCTAAGGCCGATACAGAGTGTCCATGAAGCTCAGTACATTCTTCATCATAGCAGCTACTGTACATTGATCTACCCTAACCATCTTGGTAGCCGTTCAACACAAAAAAGTACCACTTTTTTTTCTATATTCAGAAAATCGACAAACTGTCACCAGTGGAAACGAACTATGATACACTGAAATGCAATAAAGAAAAGTTTTTCAATGAAACAGGTTGTAGAGTAATAACTGTGACAGAAGTACTTAACAGCCTTGATAAAGACTGTGACTGTGATTGGTCACTTTACATGTATATCTCCATTTGCCTCTTGTGTCTGGTTTTATAGTCTCAAACTGTGCTTTATCATTGGTTCTGTGAGTTCCAGCAGAGACACTTCGACAATGTGCAGGCTCTGCGTTAGCTGCTAGGCGGCCATTATATACCTCGTCAGCATCCACCTTTGCACATTTCAAATCTGGCAGAAGTCGTTTGTCAAGTGTTATATGTCCTCTTATTTAGTCTTTGTTTACTCAAGTCGTAAAGAAAAGCTTCAAAGCCTGCCGGAAGTTTTATTTTTGTCAACCGTCTAACCGAGCATCAAACTATACCGTGACAGCAATACAATTACAAAAAAACACTGTCTCACTGAATGTAAACACCAATTTTTGCTCTGTTAAGTTTGAATTTTTTTTATATTTAATTAGGGTAGGTCGACTCAAAGTTTTCACACCTAAGTTCGAGCTCACACTGCATCATCAGAGTCAGCAGTGATTATCAGGGTGCCACAGCCATGCACAATAAATATGTATCACTTTAAGGAGATAATTGGCTGTGAAAGCCTTGGAGACAGGGCATAACAAATGAACCATCATAATGGAATTACTTTCACAGCATTGTTTTATAACCTTTGCAGGCTACACATAAATTAAACACGTTGCAAATTAAGTGATATATTTATATTTAGAAGTGTTCTTAGTTGAAAGCAATAGCCAAAAGTCGAGAACATTTGCAGTAAGTAAAGAACTCTTTCCAAATGAGGAGCTCAAACTAATGTGATGTGAGCTGCAAATATGTGAAACACAGCTAATAGTATTATAGGCTGATTATTTTCATTGGGAATATATTGAAAACATGTTCTGTTCTACAAGAAAAACAACAATTACATATATTATTATTATACAATTTGAAGTGCTTTTAGTGTTACATCTCTTTTGCAGTGAAGTGTCTGCAAAGCACGAGCTAAGGGGGGCATTGGATTCAGCCTCTCTACTGTAGCTTAACTTAAGGGTTCACATTTTGTTGACTAAAATGCAGGCTTTGTATTTTGTAAACAAGTCTTAAAGCTGGCCCCGACCAAAGCAAACTCAAGGGACAATTTGTATTCCTTCTGCTCTGCCACAGGGATTTGTAGGCTTATAAGAGTGTGTGTAAACATGCTTAAAGTTATTAAGAAGAATGTAATTTTAGACCGGTAATCTCTCCAATTTACTTCTCTCCATTTTACTTGCTCTCTTCATCTTAACTACAAATAAGACATTGAAGTGAGATGTGTTTTAAGAAGGATACACTTAATTGCAAAGTAATTACAAGTATTTTTAGATGGTTGCAATTGAGTTCAATATACCCAAAGTGTATTTCACTTCAATTTTAGGCTGTAATTACTTCTGTGCAATACACATTGGAAATATTTGATATGAAGATAACAATTGTGTTTTCAGTGTTTCAATTCAGATATTAAAAGAAAATGACCTAAATTGATGTATGAATATAACAACCTGGCCCAATCAGTTGTGCTTAGACAATCTGTGATTCTGATTCTGATTATACGAGGTGTTCTGTCTTATTCACTTCCCATTGGTGGATCTTAAATCAGGAATCACAATCATTGCTACCTACAATATGAATTCAACAGGAATTCAACATCATATTCCAGAAAATGTAATCCTTGCCAAGTAGTTTGTTGACAGAGAAGTGACGAGGAGCCTCAATCACGCTATTCCAACTGTTGATTTCCTAAACTGAGAAATGTTAACTAAAATCCACCAAAAACGAAATCCTAGAACACTGCTTGCCTTGAAAACCTGCAGTGCATGTATTGCATTGACAGGGAAAAGGTAAATTAAAAAGAAGCAACTGTCAATCAGGCAATTTATTTTTGCTATGTGGACATGTTAATGTGCATAATTAAATAATCAGCTTATGCCAGCTGCAACACTTGGCAGCTCAGTGTGACAGCTTCAGCTCCTCTCTTGAACATCTTGAAAAAGATTCTGATTGGTTCTCCCTCTGTGCAATTATATCTACTGCAAGAATATCTGTGCCTTGGACGGCCCCCAAACAGATTAAATAGATTTTACACTGCTTTGTTCACAAAACGTTCTATTCTCTCAGGTTTTAGAAAATGTTATAAACATGTTTAAAGCTTAGTGGTGTATGTAAGTAGTGTTTAAACTCTGTAAAACATATTAAAGGTCCCCTATTATACGGTTTTTCATCAATATATTATAGGTCTCAGATATATGAAAAGCGTTCAGAATCTCTTACCGCAGAGGGGACACATATTTCTGTATAAAAGACATGGAAAAGTGGATTTTGCATAATAGGTGACCTTTAAGTATAGTTTGAGTATTTACAGAGAGAATCCATCATCTCATGACTCAGCTGTTTGCTACTGAAATAAACTCTGTCTATGAATCAAGAAATCCAGTCTGAGGTCTGATGTCTGTAAATAGTTTCCCATTGCTTTCAGTGCTCACCAGAGTAGTTGTCTTGATTAATAGGAATACTTAATTTGCCATTAAGGCTGATTCATTCTATTAATCTGTTGGTTCGAAGTCATTCAATAATGTCACTGAGAATCAATTATTTTCCATGGCAACGGGTATGAAGAAGACACTGATTGTTGGCGTTTAACAAATGTATACAGGACGAGCGCCAAATATAAAGAAGTGTTCAGCTCTGGCAGCTTTATCAATACAAATGTAAAACAGCCCTTAACAGTTTATAACTATCAATGTCTACATTTCCAAAGTCCGATATTGTATATTGTGCGCGGAAATAGTCCTTGGCAGTGGAAGCCATTGATTTTCTCACCGTGTCTGTATAGCATCTTCCCTTTCCTGCCAGCACAGCATGTAATATGAGACCACAAGTTTTCCTTTACCCACAGCCATCAATTTTGCTTAGCCCAGCTCCCTCGCCTGGATGGGGCCTGCCTGAGTACATGTCTCCTACCACACACAGCTCTGCATACCTTCACCCTGGGCACAAATCTTTCAGCCTAATATAAAACAGATCTGACTTAAGACCAGGCCAATCGAATAACGGCCAGACAAGTCAGCGTGACTTTAGAGCTCTAACTGTGTCACCGCCAGGGAGGCAGTAAGCATGGAACGAGTGCAGCAGAGAGGCCTCTGATCTTCAATTCCCTGAGAAAATGATCCACATCAAAATTACCTTTATGCTATCTGTTTTACAGCTTGAAGTCAGATGTGGTTTCTTACTCCAAAATCAAAGAGCCTATACTGCCTTTTATCTTAAAAACAAAAGAAAATCAATACATGAGGCCATACGTGAGGTCATTCTGGTCATGATTGTGTCTGAATGACATGCGTCTTAACTCCCTATGCCTGGATCAATCGCTCATATTGTTAAGCAGAAAGATTGGGGTGTAAGCGTTCACTTAGAGACGTGTCTTGTCCCTTTCAGCAGATATTTTCAGCCATCAGCAACTGTAATGAAAACAAATGGATTGGCTGTTTTCATAGAGAAAGAAAACCTGGGCTGCAGCCAAAGATTATAGGGGTAACTCTTCCAATAGAGGCAATGTAGGTGTTGGATTCTATTACTGACTGTTTCTAAGAAAATTACTGAGAGGTTGTATTTTCAAATATAATTCCTTTCACATCTCACACTGTGCCGTACACATCAAGGAAGTCTAACTTTGGCATGTATTACCATGAACACACCATTGATTACGATGCCAGAGAGGTAAGAGCTGGTATTGAGCAGAGTGAAAACCAGCTATTTGCAAGAAAATAGCTGTCAGTTAATTTCCCTGCTTAGCGCTAGATGAAATTGCTGTAGTAACTTTAGCAGAGTTAACATCTAGCTACAGATATCTTCTTACCTGTAGCCACTGTGACTGGTCGCTGTGTCCAGCCGTCCAAGCATTGACCTTGCCCTGTTTGTCCAACCGGGCCTTGCCAGGCTCCCAGGTGAACATGTCCATGTTGAGCGTCCTGAAGATGCTGGAGGCCGTGACTTGGTAGTCCTGGACATGACCTGACTTCAGACCAAGTGGTTCAGAGCAGCCTGGCAACAACAACACATTTGTTATAATCATCCTGACCGCATAAATTCCCTTACCTCCAAAAAAAAGGAGTATATTTTCATTACAGTTTCCACATAGAAAATGCAGCATGGTAAAACTATGCAGGAGGCATAGTGCAGTGGATTTTCAGATAATTTCATAATGAATGTGTGTGAAACGTTGAATCTCACCCACCTGTTAGCTCACAACCCAGCAGCTCCATGCGAAGGGTGCAGTGCCTCCTGCAGACTTGGGGGTAAATGCGCACGTACTGGGCTTCAATGGGAGGGGTGAAGGAGTTGGCTGATGGAGCGGTGTTATCGACATTTCCTCTGAAAATCTGTTGCAGGGGATGAAATAACAGCAGATGGGGGCGGGGAGGATGGTATAACAGATCAGTTTTGCTGTAATTTAGTCTCTCTGGCGCTGTCTCTAGTGTCTACTCCACACTCAACAAATTGCTGTCTTTCAAGGTCAATGAGCTGGAATTACATGAGAAAATAGACAATTTCCCGCACCATTTGAGCCCATAATTCATAAGAACAGTGGTGTGTTTTAAATTAGAGCTCCAATTATATCGCTATACCTTCTGGAGAGTTTTATCCAGATGACCTGACAGAAACTCTGTGATTTGAGTGACTGATGTACTGCATGTGTGAGGCGCAGAGAGAGGGCGAGAGAGAGAGAGAGAGAGAAAGCACAGGAGAGACAGAGCGGTGTGTTTTCATGCGATACAGGAAATAGGAGCTGTCACTGGGTGGCAGCAGGTCAATGCGAACAAAAACCCCCAACTTATTTTTGGTCAAGGATCAGGGCTTCTAACACACTCACAGGTCCTTCTGTGCAGGTATTTATCTCAGTCTGCTTATATTTTTAAAACATCCACCTCAACAAAAAAAAGACACTCAAGCATTCACATTGTTTCTTTCTGTACGCCATATTTGGACCGAATAAAAGCTATATAAGAAAAGCACAAGACTGAGATCCCAGGATATTCAAGTAGACTCTCTGTTCCGTGTAATACATTTGAAGGAAGTTTGGAAGTCGGGGTCATTCGGAGCTCCGCCAAATGGGAGACAGCCGTGGTTTGCTGTCAGGAATGATAGAACGCTGTGTGGCCTATTTGGTGGCTGTTTCATCCCCAAATAGTATAAAAATTCAATCTAGAAGTCATAAAAGTGGAGGGGGGTAAGGGACAGCAGGATGGGCCCGGTGTGTGCTAGCTAATTAAAAAGCCATCTCATCATGTCCTCCACCCTGCCCTTGACTGAGTGCACAGTCTCTTGTCGCTGTGTGTGAACGTGCGCGAGTGTGGGCATGTGTGTACCTTCGCCTGTGTATTGCACGGTGAGAGGCTAAAGAGAAAAAGTGGAGAGAAGACAATGGGTGTGTATGTGTTGTGTTTGTGGGTCCTCGCGTGTGTCTTACCATATCATCATTTTTGCCCTTGACTTTGTATGTTCTCCAGCTCTTCCCGTCATCACTGTAGGCTACTTTGTAAGACTTGACGTACTCTGCGCTTCCGATACGCTTTGCACCCTGGGTAATAAGGCCTGTGACCCTCATTCTCCTCTGCAGGTTTATCTGTGGAGTAAAAAGAAGACAAAATCGAGAAGTTATTGCTTCATTTCCAGACAGTTTGAACGAGTGAGTCTTTGTCTATGCGTGTGCACGAGCAGGTGTGCCCACGCAAGTCATGGGAATCAAGTCCCCCCCCTTTGTATCTTTTCTGTCAGGGCCATCCATCTTATTCAGAAAGTCTGTGATCGAATGGAACATTTAATCAATCCTCACGCTCTAGATTCAGTCTGTCAACCCTGTGCAGACTGTCAATACGGTGCCAATGACAAGCGGCTTGGAGAGCAAAGAGGAAAGGAAAGAGTAAGAAACAGCAAAGTGATGAATGTTTGTGTGCTCAGTGCACACAAAGCAGGATCATTATTATCTCAGGACAATAGATGTGTTAAACAACAGTTTAGGGTTCGCTTTGACATGTTTCTCACTTTGAGAGTCCATTCCAACAACACTGCCATTCCACATATTTTCCTATAATATATAAGGGTTAAAGTTATGGTATGTATTGTAATTAATGTTCAAATGTTTAAGGTCAAGGGGATTTTCGAACATGTCAAACCATGCCTGTTTGATTGATAGGAGTCTCAGCCTATCACACTCATGCAGTTGTTTGGCGCTTCCTGACCTCCATCCATTCTCACATGTCGTTGCCCAGAATTGAATAATCCACTTCCAGTTACAGGATGGGCCTGAGAGACCTACATTATAAGTGATGTGACTCATGCCTCATATATGTTTTTCTACAGTTTATGTAATGAACCTGTCATTGCTGGTTGACTATAAAGGGCCTGTAGTTTGGTAAAGCAATTTTAAAAAAAAGTCTAAAGAGGTGTTTTTGTTTTGTCTTGTGTCATAATAAAGAAGCTTGTGGTGGCAAAGAAGTGGTGCTGTGTTCAAGTCACACATTGTACTTACAGTCACTAACACACACACTGCAATTTATTTTTATAAACTCAATATTATTAATGATAATAAAGTAGGGCAGGATAACACATGCATCACAGCATGATAATACTGTAACACACTAGTTAGAGACAAATGAGATCAAGCAAATAAAGCAGTGATAGTAATTATTCATTAAACAGTTCGGCACTACATTCACAACAAGCTGCTTCATTTTCAGGAAAAAAGAGAGAGCCACTTTGGCTCATCACCCTCTGACAATATATATAAAACACTGTGTTTCATGGCCACAGCCCAAAAGTAAAGTAATAATACACTACTGAGTGAGTATTATCCAAAGGACCATTAACCTGAAATGGCCAAACCTGAGGAAAGAAATGTAGACTCAAAGAGAATTTGAATAACTAGCTTGAAGTGGAGCAGTACAGCTCAAGGTTAGATTTATTCTGTACTTTTTCCTACATATATATGAGCATATTTCTGCAAATACTTTCTGAAGTCATTTTAAGTTAAGAACATTAACTATTTTAAAGCTTATCCAAAATAAATTGCTGTCTCTTTTCACTGATACAGCGACCACATTCAGGTATTTCTATGGCTTGAGCTCAGTTTCAGGAATATTAGCATTATTTTGAAATAAGGCAATTTACAAGTGAGTCAATATATTTTAATATTATTATAATATTTATATTTAGAGTAAAATCTCAAGCACATAGTCTGAGCCCACGAGTTATAGTCTGTGTGTCCAAAAAAACCAACAACTGTGTCTCCTGAGCAGATTAAAGGTTAGAGTACTGGCTATTACATATCCAGCATAAGAAAAAGCTGTTTATGTTCACAAAGCATGTTTTTACTGTCAAAAACCAATGGAGAAATGCATAATAATTATTTTTCAGTGTTGATATCCTTTCTAATTTACATATGTAGAGACAAGCCTCAATTACGCAGATTCTTCGACATACTTAAGCGGATGTATTAAGTTAATTATACATAAGGACCCCTCTTAGAGACTCAGAGCTGCTACGACCCACTGTTTCTCATTCACAGCATTTCTTCGCTCCCCACCATTTTTCTCCATAGAGATAGATACTTCTTGCACTAATTAGAAGGCCTGTCACTAAAAGGCCACGGACGGGGTAATTGGGGTGATTCTTCACATTTTTAATGACCACTCAGAAACATACGTCCGTCACCTCAGCGCTAATAGTGATGCATTTATTTGTTTGAGTGAGGCATCGTTGGAAATTCATAACCTAAAATGCTTAAAATGGCATGGGACAACTTTTTAAATAAATAGCTGTAGAACAGATACACTTTTTGTGTTTAGATTGGATACAGATTGGCTTTTCACTTTGCAAATCTCCCAGAAAAATGAAGATCAGGACGCAGCATATTCTGAAACAAGGCAGGAAACTTTTGCTTCAACATTGTTAACAGCAGTGCTTTACAGCTCAATTCATTCAGTTCTTCCATTTCAAAATAAAAGCCAGACACATAGACATTGCATTATTATAGGAAAGCATTTCACTACTCAACAAATGACCCTAACATTCAACCAAATAATTCACTCCTCAGGTAATAAAACAATTCTACCAAAAGCAAAAGACCCTTGTTTATAAAGGGGGTACAGAAAGCAAAGAGGAGTGATACAATGCGTACCATTTACTAATCTAAATCAGTACATAACAAAAGCTGCCCTTTGTTGTTCCTTTATCATAGCGCTAAGACTGGGTTTTTTAGGTAAAAGAAATGTTTTTTATTCTTGTGGTAATTTCTTGCTTCTGATAGTAGCCAGGATGCAATCAGTAGGCAAGTTGCTGATGAAATATGAACAAGAAGATTGGTCTGCTTGTTACTATAAAAATCAACTAATACAAAATATGTAATAACCATCTCTGTTGTTGTTGGTAACTGAGGAAAATGATAAGTGTTTGGTTGTCTTTGCGACAGTGGCACCAACAAACTGCACACAAATTACACTGAGATGTTAAAGATTATGAGACAACACATTTAGTTCATGATATTTGAAGTCTTGTACCTAAATCTCAAACATTTTCCATATTTTTAAAATCAAATGCAATTAAACCCTATTTGGAATCACAGGTGCAAGATTAACTCATATTGAGATGACATTTCACTTATTGTATGCCCACTACTCAGTGGCCATGACACTTAATCCCTTCTCATTTTTCAAAGTCTAGATGTTTCACATGTCAGAGTTTTAAAAAACGAATTAATATGTGATTTTATTTGTATTCTGATATTACTTTTCATTTATACTTAATCTATGTATTTTAGTTTTATTATTTACTTTGTGTTTTTATGATTATATGCTGCTGGTTAATTAACTTTCTCTCTGTGTATTTCTGTGTGAAAACAGTTTGTAACTATGTTTTGAAAGGTGCTATAAATAAAGTGTATTATATCTTTACTGACAGTAAAGATAAACAGTATAATAGGAGACCTTTAAACACTTCAACATGGCCTGAACCATCAGCCCAGATCTGAGAGCTGCATTAGGATTAAGCTTATGAACCTAATTCATGACTCCTATTTATATAAGAATCACTGTTGGTATCATATTGACAGTAATCAGTCAAAAATGTTGTGCAATAATGCAGAATTACACTTTTTTAAATGCCGTTTATGTTTGAAAGTAAAGGCTTATTGTAAGTAATATTGACGGCAGTAGTGCTGTTATTATTATAGAATACATTTTCATAAATAGCATTGGTTGGTTTGTGGTTTGTAAAATGCTTTAATAATAATGTGGAACGATGGAATGAAAAGAGACAGACAGGTACAGAGTAAGACTCAAAGCAGGTTATTTATATACATCCAGCCATGATAAAAAATGCAGACCTACTCAGATCTGCATCTGAGCATTATGTCATTAACAGTTTAGCTTCCATTAAACGATGTGTGGACCCTCCAAGCCGTCACAAGTGATTTGGGTTGTTTCATTCTTCGAGCGCAGCTGGCTGGAGCTATATTTTGCTGATATTGGTCAAACCGGCAGCAAATTTCCCTTGAGTGTTCAAATGCAATTTTATGTGTGAGCTAGTCGTGGCAAGGATGTGAAAAAATATTCTGACAATACATAGATGTGTGTAGTAGCTCATTTCACAAGCACACAAAACCAAACATTAACACAAACAAACATGTACGCCGAATGCATGCTCCGTCGGTTCTTCTATGATGTATTATTCAAAGAATGATTCTCTGTGTTTGGGTTGAGAGAGCAAACACTGACTGACAACCAAAGAAGCATACGGCACCAAAGAAAACCTCACAAATAGCCAGAATAATCTGATCCGCGTTTTGATAGGGTTGTCATCTGTCAGTATAACATATTTCACATGACATTCAAACGCAGTCATCGCTCTGCACTACAAAAGCACCCTGCTTACTCCTTAGCATAATCCCAAAACACTGCCAGGACTGTACACCTCTGTCTGTACTCACGTCCCAATTATCCGGGCCCTCTGTAGAAACACACAATGCCTATAGCATCCTGCGTAATATCCCACGTGGCTTCATTAAAGTCAAACAAACTGCCTGAATGTTTTATGTCCCACTCTCCTCAGCCTCTCCAAGTGCACGGCTCCTTTTCTCTTACTCGTGTTGCCTGTATCTTCACAAACTCTCTTTTTTTTTTTTTTTTACAAAGCAATTCCTCCCAATGTTACTTTTCTCTTGTTGTAAGGTACAACTTCACTTTCTTCATCACACTGTCACGGTGTATTTTGGTTTTCTATTACATTGGGTCACGGTTCACTGTCCGTGGATCATGTATCTGATAACAGCCCACTTCAAAGGTTGCTGTCAGCATTTCTGTCACAACAGTAGTGACTCAAAGAGTAACGTAACAAGTCAGAAACAAAACACGTTTTTATTAAAGTTAATTAATCAACAAGCTAAGTGATTGATTATTTAACAATTTGTCAATATTTTTATGTGGAATATTTTTCATCTGTTGTATTAGTGCGTCTTCGGCACTAGACCGAGACTTCAGAGTTGGAGGTAGATTTATTTATCTTAACAATACCATCTGACATTTGCTCTACTGAATATGCAACAGCCGTTTCAGTGCGGGACCATGACGTATGACTATATGCTCAAAATAAATCCAGACAATCAGTTATACATAGGTTATTAACTGGAGCCAGATCATTATAGGCGAAGGAGCTGCAACAGCTTCCATACCATCATTTAATCATTGCTTAATGCTATGAGACCTACAACATATCCTTATTCCTAGGGATACAATTATATGAGGAAGGTCTTTTTTAGGATTAAAAGAGGCCCATAAAAAGTAAAGCAATAGGTTCTGGGTTTTCAGAACGACCATACAATCTACAGTATTTGTGTGATGGTACAGCATGAAGGTTATCTTCTCATAGCCTGAGTAGGAGCAGACTTCGCTGTGTCAACGTTCACTGCTTTTCTTTTCATTTCACAATACTTAGGTTTTTGATCAGAGGTATTCAAAAATGTCAAAATGAGAGACTGCATTTTCAAGCTTAGTTACATTTTGGGGGGATAATATAACTGTAAAAAATACTGTTGAGTGTTAAGCTAAATGATACATCAAATCTTCATCTTGACAGCAGAGTGATTTCCATAAGACGAAGCAAAGAGAAAGCATCAGTGCATTAAGTCATCAAAATATTAAAGTGCCATTGTAGCCTCAGCTTTGAGAATGACACAACTAAACGTTAAAGGTCACCTATTATGCAAAATCCACTTGTTCATGTCTTTTATACATAAACATGTGTCCCCTCTGTGTAAAGAGATTCTGAAAGTTTCAGGAAAAAAGATTTGCTCACTTTTTGTCCTGATCCATTTATAAAAACCTGTCTGAAAATGAGCTGATCAGATTTTGCATAATGACTTTTTTGGCTTGTGTAACCATTAGCCAATAACCAACCAAGGTAACCCCCCCCACCTTATCACCTGAATCTCCTCCTAGAGCACCATTGTGTTATTTTTAACCAAATATCTCTCAGAGGGGCGTGGGGAGTGGCTCCTTATTTTCATCTAAAGTAACAGACACTTTTGAAACAGGGCTGAAACAGAGGGGATTATGGCATGATACAATGCATGATCTGTTTGGTATTTCGAGCCAAACACTTCAGAGACATGTTTTGTATATAACTGAGAACTATAATATATTATGAAAAAGAGTATAATAGTGGACCTTTAAAACAGAGATGGCACAGTGGATTAGATGGAATAGATTGATAGATGTGTGTGACATCACTTAATGGTTCAGAAATAAACGTTACGGTCACATTATTATATTTCATTAAACCATCAACTACAAACAATAACGTTATTTGGAAGTAAACTTCAATCCAACAATTTAAAGCCACCACAAACAAGACAATAACGTGTGTATATCATTCAGACTGTGTGTTCTGCATGTGTTCTGTGACTGCACTTTACCTGGATCCATGGCCATCTGTCATTTTCGGCAGCCGTCCAGGCATTCACCAGTCCTTTCTTGTTGAGGCGAGAAAAGTACGGGTACCACTTCTGCAAGCCGAAGAGAGCGCGGTGGGTGGAAGAGGCTGTTATCTGTTGGTTGGAGATTATACCGCCCTCCATACCGAGAGGTCCAGAGCATCCTGAGTGAAGAGAGAAAGAGAGAGAGAGAAAGAGATGAGCCTTCATGTCATTTCAGCACTCAGAAATATGTGCAACCCAGTCTGTGCGATGCTTATAGATTTCTTAAAATACCACAATGACCATATTTTGTAATGTCAATGACTTTGAACTCCAATACAGTTTTAAATTAATCTCCCCAATGTCAGAGTTGATAGCTGTCTAACTCAGTCTCCTCCACTTGTAAAGTATCAGGTATGGTCATTAAAACAGAAACTTTTCCTCCACTCTCCTGTTGTATCTTTGTGAAGACTTCTCACTAAGTCCTTGTCTTTGAGGTCGTCATTGATTTGTCCAGCATGACTCCTGTCTCTCTTATTATTAAGAGACACTCTCGTCACCTCAGTCAACAAGATGACTGTGTCCTTATGCTGTCCACACCTGAGGGACAGGTGGCTCCTTCATCTCTTCCATTAGTAACAGAGCCCTTAGGCTTTCACCCAAGCAGCTGGGACTGGATAGCATCAACCCCAAAGTCATCATTATTTGTTAGAGCTTTAAACATCTTACAGGCAGCAGTATCAAGGTATGACAGCACTATCATTAGACAGAAACACTAGCCTTACGTCTTCAAGATTTTTTTTTACCTCTCAATCCTTATCACATTAAGATAATTTGAGACATACAAATGCTGAAAGGGGTTCTGGGAATGTAAATCGAATAGACTGTTAATTTTGCTTTTTTTATATTTCAACAATTGCAAAAAATTCAAAAACAAGGTTTGCACTGTACCCTTAATAATATTTTCTTATTGTTAATTTACACATAAACCATCTGCCATTTCTATGAAAACTGTCCTTAGGTTGGATTGCATGAGGAGGGTGAAAAACATGCACATTCTTTAGTTTGCTTTTATTCATCAGATAATTGAAGACTCAGGTGTGCAAGGGAAATATCTTCAACGGTTCAACTGGGGTTGAATTGATGTTTCAAACGGCTGTGCTGTATAACCATCAAAAATAAATCAGATGTGACTGGAGAATCTTTCAGACCGCACAGTTTCAGTGTTGTGTAACTCAGATTGTGAATTAGATGTTTCTCTTCATCGGTTATAATTCAACACTTAAGGTGTAATATGCAACATGAACACTTTAAAGTGTCTCAGAAATTGCTTTTCGATGTTGTGCAATTTCAAGATAAACCAAACAGCTGAGACGTGACACAAAGTTGGTTGGAATTTTGGATGCAAACCCCCGCATCATTACATTTCTTCTTGCCCATAGTGCCTCACAAAAATAAGCAGCATCACAGCTGAATTTACCTTAACAGTTTGTGTGTAGGTTGTGACAGATGCTAAAGTTTTAATTTGTCCCTAACTCAAGCAAATAGTAGACATAAATGCAAGGATTTATAGCCCCGCATTGCATGATTGTAAATATGATTCCTAATATGTATCATTTGCAATCATATTAATACTGTGTTATGCAAAATAAGACATGTGCCAGTGAAGATTAGCTAACACCAGCTAAAAACTTGAACAGGTCTAAAGAACATTAATAGGAGTTACTGCTCATCGTATGGCAGTGTGTCCTTCACAGAGCAATTATCTGAAATTGCAGTAAGGGATATTTTGTTCTCCATTACAGTTGAAAGTCATGAGGTTGAGTATAAACCTGAAGTGTGTAGCAAAATGGAATATATTTCCCAGTGCTTCTCTTATAATGTGACAGCAAATGGATGGGACGGTTGGAGGTACTAGTGTGTTTTTATTTCAGGCTGTTATGGCTCTTAACATTTTCTAAATGGAATGAGGGTTAGGTATTACAGAGAGAACAATATTATTATTGATGCCCAAATTGCACATTGAATTGAACAGGACAATCACATTCAGTTTATGATGACAAAATGTGGCATGTATTTTACTCTGGTCTTGGTTTTTATTTCTAATGACAACAGGGATAAAATAATCGAGTAACAAAACAGAGGACATCAATATTTGATTGCACTGAAAAGTGGTACAAATGTAATCCACTCATTCATTTTTGTTAGCATAGGCTCTGGTCTCAGATGATAATTGCTGTGTTCAAGAGGCTAGAAAACCACAAGTGTTGGGAATGCTGAGGCAACTTGGAAGCGTTCCAAAAGAATGAGGACACATCAAGCACAAAGTTCAGCCAGAGGCACTGCTCGCTCATGCCAGCTGAACTGTAAGTGTCCGTGTAAAGCAGCCTTCAGGGAAAGCCTGGAGCAGCAGTCACACGGAGGCTGTGATGCCTTCACAATTTAAACAAATCACCTAAGCATTTCAAACCCAGGGCTTACACATAGACAGATGAGACACACACACACACACACCAGCAGACAATTTAAGTGGCAGGCTTGAAAGAAGACCTTCAGCACAGAAGAAAGCCAAGAGTCAGAGAAGAATGGAACAATGAAAACAACCTTAGCACAATGTATCCAGCTGCTAAAACAGTGGGGCTCTAGGCAACAGAGAGGCAGGGAGACAGTGAGTAATGTCTGAGGATGGTCCGGGGGGATCGAATGGAGGCTGGGAGAGAGCAACGACTATATCTGTGTGTGTTTGCACTGACAGAGATGTGTTTATATATTCCACTATGGTAGATCCCTCTTGCTTTGCTAGTTCTTCCTCGTGTGTGACTCATCGCTTCCAAACCAATGAGGGGATGGTGTAGGTGGATGCGGTAACATACTGCTGAAGCTTTACATTTTCCATTATATTTTAGATAGACTACACTCATTCCTTCTAACAAGTCAGAAAAAGAACAAGCAGCCATGACTTTCCAAAATGACCATTGTGTTCGATATACAGTATAATATCAGTTGCATTTTAACATGTTATGTCTAATCCTAGTCATTCAGACACCATAAGAATATGTCTTTACTGGTGTTTTTTCTCTTTTTAACAGGGAGTAAAAAGAAGATCCATCTTTCAGGAAGCTATCTTAAAAATTCAAAGTAAAATGTATAGTATAAAGAGAAAACGATGGACAAACCGATTTCTCCTGAAAAATGTATATAAATCCTTTAAATAGTCTTTGAGATATTTCAGTCTGGACCAGTGGTCGCGTTAACCGAATATTTCCAGTCTATGACGGATTTTTTTTAACAATGACGGAAAAATCTGAAAGCAGTATTGAGCAGCATTTTGAAAGATTAGAACAACAAACCCAGAACAGCGCCAAAGTTTCCCTGCAGCGAGGCTCCGGTGTTTTGCCGTGTTATGCATGCCCGTCAAAAAGGAAATGATATCGTTTGCCGTACAATCATTGAAATGTCTGAGTTTTTGCTTTACGCTGTGCGCGCTCCCGCGAGGTGCAGTCAGTGGGCAATGGGCATGCATAACACGGCGCTACAGTTCACGAGCCCGAGCCCGCGCCCCCCCCCCCCCCCCCCCCAGTTGTACAGACCGACGGGTTAATAATGGATTTTGACGGAAATGTTAAGATCCTGTTCGTCAAAATGACGGGCAGCGAAAAAGTCAAGCGCAACATCTGGTCTGGACTAAAGTGATGTACCAACCGACAGACCAAAAGCTATGTCGTTAGCACGCCTTTAATGGATTCCAGGCTAAGGAGTGTTAATTGAGTTGTAGGTTGAATCGTCACACCGAATGTGAATAATGTAGAGGGTGCAAATAAATACAAACAGCAATACAACATTTTTAGTTGAACCTGACTTTCAATTTGTAAGGGACCCTGTGGATTCACACACGCTAATCTGGCACATTCACCTGATGCCATATCACCCTGATGCAACTGTTGAGTGTAAAACATAATCAAATGTTCCTTATTACGACATGACGTTGGTACCGAGGTGCAATGTTGCGTCATCACAGTACCATATTTGTCGAGACCTAGTACCCGTTGAAGGGTATTCTATATGCAAGATGTGTTAAGACACTGTTGCAGAGTCCCAGCCCATCTCACCTTGTGGCCATGAAGGGCCACTCTTAACGAGCCGCCTGCCAGCCGTCCGTCAGAGGCAGCGGGCCCCGGGGCCTTGGCCTGCTGGCCCCTGAGCATACATCAGCCCTATGACAGCACACATCACTAACACCAGCACTACGCTGATGTGACAGCTGAATCCATCTCCCACCAAGCCCTACCTACAGCCTAAACAAATTAGAGCCCCACTGAATTTAATGCCAGCACACCAATACTAATGAGCATGCGGCGGAAAGAATGGATGAGAAAGAATAATAAACACAGAAAACTGAAATCAGTAATGGATGTTCCACAGGTGACAATTGAGACTGGATTAATTGCTTCTATATGTATTATACAGTATGGGTCTGTCATTATGTGAAGTTATAGTGGAAAATATACTTGTCACTACTCTCTGGTGAACTAGAATGGTGAGACTGTATCCATATATATCTTATTTGGTGTGTATGTACTTAATATAAGTATTTGGTCTCTACCTACTAACACAAATATGGTATAACTGCTGTGTAGTACAATGGATTATTAATGAAGTCTGCATTAGGGGTGTACATTATATCATAATGAATAGTATGAGATATATATTTGTTTCTTTGTTTTCTTGACCATAATAAAACAAGGGGTTCCCTTAAAATAAACCACATTGTTATCGTATGTTTCATATGAATGAACAAATACATAATCAAAAAACAAACAAATCACTGTACTATGTCTGCTACACTTGATAGTTTTAGTAATGCAATACGTTCTCTAGCATATGAGTTTTCCGGGTCAGAATCAGTGACACATTGTGCAGAAAGATTTGTCACTGTAAATAGAGCTTAAAGTAACGCTGATACATCTCAGATTTCAACAAAAGGTGGCGATGAAAACAGATCATTTGCAGTAAACCACCAAAGCTTCAAGCTCTGGGGTCTATTTGTTACAGGGCTATTGGGTTTTATTTGTGTTCCAGGGTGTTAGTAAGTTAGAGAAAAACTTGGAAGAACTTATATCGATTTAGATTCAACTCTGAGCAGATGGTTTAATAATTATCTTGGCCCTAGGATTCTTTTGGAAACCAGGGGTCCTCACATTTCCTCAGAATTGGATATTTTACTGACCATTCAACCCATAATAATGTCTGGTCTCGAATCAACAGTAACAATCCTCAATTTGCTTTAACAGAAATGCTGAGGCAGCATGGGCCAATCGTTATCTCACTGTATTTTATGTCTTCTAATATATTCCACTGGCATTTATGTTGGCCAGGTACAGACATGATTTTATTATTCACTACTAACTTTCCATTGGACCACGGGAATCAATATTGAATGCACTGAAATTGGATATTACCAAACAGACATGCAATGGCCAAAATGTCACAGCTGCCTATACATAATATTACGACGCTCTCTTCTGGTATGGCCAAAAAACGTAAACCTGCTCAATCTGCAACAGCAACAGTTCTTGCCCACACATAACGTGGGATGAAGAAATAAGTCAGAGGAGATGTCGAGGCCGTGCATAGGAGTATATTTCAGCCATTTGACCATTTGTATGCATGTTATATTCATCGGGGACCCCACTGACTGTACTTCTTCGGATTAGACTGCTACATCATTATCAAATAATGTTTGATAAAGCATATATGTTGATTTTCATATGTATACATACATTTAGAGACATATCACAAACCCCTTCATGTTCATGGTTATACAATTTAATTTCAAGCTAAAAAGTATTAGGACTGAGGTTTGTTAAGTTATATTTAAGTCCACTGGATATCCAATTAAGAAATAAACAAAACGTGACTATAGTGCTGGCTTTTAGCTTTAAGAGTGTTTAGTGAATTCACATCTATTTTCATCCTTTGGGAATTTGGACAAAAACAGGCTATTGTTCTACATTCCTACATGGGTTACTTGTTATTGTTGTAAACACCACCTAATTAAAGCAGAGAGTATTCACTTTCACCTCATGGAAATTGTTTTATTTCAAATCTAATATGTTGAAGTCAGACCTAAAACTAAATATTCTAATACTTTTGCATTTAAACTATGGCTTGCCGAGTTAATGTTTCCATAATATGCTTTACAAATAATTAATCCATATGGGAACAATGAAAATGAGCAACATTTAACAAACGATGGAGCCAAGCATATGTTCAAACCCTAATACTTGATCTTTCTCCTCAAGTGTGTCACTCACTCACTAACCAAACTCTATCAATCAGGCTGCAAAACAAGATTTAGCAACTTCCAAGTCTGCATCTCTTTCCGATGCAGACTTGTTCCTGAAACTCCTGAGTCAGTTACCGAACGGCTGTGCTACACCTCAGATAGAAGATCTGATGAATTCATTTGTGAGTAGCAGTGCAGGGATGGCTAAGGGCTCTGAGTCCACTGATACATTAATCCTAATATGTTCCCAGAGTGAGCGAGAAAATCCCTGCAATAGCATAATAAACACATGAGGCCACTCTAAGCTCTCAGGCGTCTTGCAAAAGAAGTGATAAGGAGCTCTCTTTCGTTCTACACAGCCACTGGGCATACAGAATGAAATGAGGGCTTGCAAGAACAAAGTGGCCGTGACTTCTCAGTATTCAAATGTTCAACTTTTTTCTTTATTTGTTTTGTTATTATTACGCTTTAAGGTTTATTGTTTTTCTCTGAACATGCAGAAATGCATTTTTGTTTTAGTTTAGTATTTTCTAATTAACCAGCGGAAAAAAGTATGCCCTTATTTCAGAAAACATTAACATTTTGTGGAATGTGAAGACTTATGATTTTCAAATTAAAAACACAATAATAATTACCATCCTGCGCTAGTTGAAAATATACAGGGAGAATTTCAGTTTATGTGTTCAAGCCTTTGAATCCATCTCTCTAGTAAAAGAGGATCGAATCATACCCCATGTGTATTTTCAGATATAATGAGGCGAGAATTATTGAAACATTCCAGATGTTTCCCTACACTCCCTACTTTCCCTTTTTTCTTTACAACAAAAACCCCCAAAAACCCTGAACTTACAAAAGCTGTATGACAGACTTATGTATAACGTCTGTTACAGTTGTGAATGAGATCAATTGTTGGCTATAAGTAAACCAATAAAGCAAAATAATGTCCTTTACACTTAATAAACTTGTACAAGCTCTAAAAAGTTTTAATCAAAAGTCAGCAAAAACCTGTTTAGATGTTCTTCATGTTCAATTAACGGCAAGCTGTCTGGTTTCTGTGTGCTGTTTTCAAAAGAAGAGTTCAAAGACAAACATTAAAAAAAGAAACACAAGCACTTACTGTATTGACAGTTCCTGCCCATGTACTCCCCTGGGCAGTCGCAGGAATAGTTGGCAACCCGATCTGTGCAAATTCCCCCATTCTTGCATGGTTCCCTTTCGCATTCGTTAATATCTGTAAGAAAAAAAAAAAGGGTGCATTAATTTATTTGAAGGAGACACATAGGCAATTAAAAAGACCTCATCCTCATTAGAATGCAATGGTTGGGAGCATATATTGAATTTTCGCCATGTGTTACTTGATTCTGTCTGCCCGTAGAAGCTCTTACAAAGACTAATAAATCAAAGAAATCCCCAGGAGACCATTAATGCAAGAACAGAGAAGTTTTGAAAATGTTAAGAACAACTAACCTGGTGTACTTTCTCTGTAGTGTAAATACAGTAAGTATTGTTTTTCACAGTGTATCATTTTTGCTAAATTCTACAAAGCTACTATACTTGCACTCCTTACACGCATGTTACAATAGGCTTGGTAAATATCCTCCATTTCTTCATTAAAGTATCAGAGACACAAAGAACAAGAGATCAGACTGTCAACATGGTAAATTGTCGCAGAATCATCATCCATTGTGCAGCGATCTTTGCTCTGTAATTGCTCTTCTCTGATTGTTTCATCTAACCAATTACAGGCGGCGAGAGACCCACAACCCCACCCATCTCAACCATTTGCACTCTGTTCTATTAAATTAAGGGAAATGGGATTACAGGGATAGTTAACGGGAGAGGGAGGTAGAGAGTTACACTTAACAGTTTTGATCACATTTCTAATTATTTCCAAACTTGCCTATGGCTTCTATAAGACTTTTAATCCTCTAAATATAACCCGGCTGTGACTCATTGGTCCATTTTGGCTTTATGAATATGTAACTACTGTAGGCTTGAGATTTGGAAAGATAAATAAGACAAACTATGATTGAAATAGCTCTCTCACAGTGATTTATTTTTCTGAAATGTTATCTATAATATCTTGAATGGTTACTTGGACACAATTTTAATAATTCAAAAATATATAATTTGTTAAGTGAATGAAAACATTCATGGTGTTCACACATAATGGTCTCGGAGGTCATGTGACTGGAAGTAGTAGTATCTTTAATCTGCAGCAGAACATTTAAATAGATTGAGTGAAAATGTAGAAAGGGAGGGAGGCAGAGAAAGGAATGAGACATGGTTTGTAATTCAACCAAAAATCCATGGGGGACTTTCACCCTGTATTTGGGTGAAAAGATTAAATTGAGCTGTAACAGAAGTTGTGCAAGATGAATTTCAAAAACACATCTATTGTTTTTATTTGTCTGGAAGGCATAGGGTAATATTCTGCTTATTTGTCTGTCTGGACGTGTATAATTGTCTCTATATATATATTCTAGGTATAATCTTGAATCCCATTTTACAGTGCGTTTTCATTTTAGAGTAGACTGCCGGTACACCCAAGATATTGGCAGCAGTTACAGACGTTTTTAACCATTCATACAGTAAGTCTGCAGTTAAATCCCCAGCCCCTGCAGTCAACATTATGTAATGTAATACTGCTATTTGTTAAAGGTAGGGTAGGTAAGTTTGAGAAACCGGCTCGAGATCGCTAGAATTTGAAAATACACAACTGGAGAAAATCTGCCACTTCCTTACAGAGCCCCTCCTCCAACACACACGAACGCGCACATGACCAATGAGGGCACGAGATAAGTTTGTGCACAGATGGAAGGCTGACAGGCAGGTAGGCCATCCAGTTATTTTAGCCGGGCTGGCTAAAATGATTGGTCGTACTTTTTACAGTATTACGGCTTCCACAGATGAAATATTTGCATGGATTTTTTGTCAAAGCACTTACTGTAAGATATTCATTGCTATCGGGATGTTAAGAGCATTCCATGGAATATAACAAAAAGTGTATCTCGAGCCGGTTTCTCAAACGTACCTACCCTACCTTTAAGGCATTTGAATGGAACATTGTAGGTGATAGTCAAAGGAACTGCTCCTGAAAATGTAGCAAAAAACCCAAATCCTTGACTTTGACGGAAGTTAACGTGTGTATTTCAGCACTTATACAGAAAATAACAATAGAGTTGATTTGGCAGTAATAGCACTTCTTTCAAAAGACATGACTGCTTAGACACAAAACTATGCTGGACACAAAGTAGGTAATTCAAACTGCAGGGGCCACTCATCTTTAATTATACATAATGGAAAGAGGAAATTATACCAGAGAGAAGTGACACATATTCAACCACTAAATGTGCCTGTCAAGCTGTGAAGATGAGAGGCACATTTTTACGACAGGTTCATTTTTGCCTTTGTTTTATTTAAAATATGGTTAGTGATCGTCTATTCATCCGTTTGTGTATGTCTACGTGTAGCTGTTTTTAATTATCTGTTTCCCAATAAATGTTCTTAGCCATTTCATAAAGGCATTAAGATACTAATGCAAATGTGTTGTACGGGCTCCATGTCCCTAAAATTGCCTAATAGTTGGATATACATTGCTTACAGCATGCTGCGATCAATTAAATTGTTTCCATTGCATTTAAATCAAGAAGACTCAACCTATATGAAAGACTGGAGTGATACAAATCAATAACATGGAATGGGGCTTAAAACTGAAGCTCATAGAGAAGAAAAGAATATGGAAAAATACTCCATATACTGTAGGTTATACCCTAACAGGATAATAACCTCATTCAACCCCACTACGAATCATCGTAACCTTTAAATACACATAAATGATATGATGTTGCTGAAGATTTTAGCTAAGAAAGCTACAATTTGTGGAAAGTTAAGCGCACACTATATGACCTTAAATGTGAAAGGAGTTAGAAGCCAAGAAAATAACAGGACTATATCCAAACATCCATTAAACTTGAAGGGTCCTGGTGTGAGAGAGGTTGGGCACAGGTCACCAGTCAATTACAGGGCAGAAATGAACAGTTGCACAATAACATTCCTCAGCTCATTCTGCACACGGCTCAATACACTGTTGTTTTACCAATGCAATCACTCCACTTAGATATGTGATGTTACCCTTTAAGGTTATATCCTGTTTTGAAGCAACCATGTAGGTTCAAATACATAGGTGAGCCAAATGGGCCGGCCACTCAAATAGCCTGGAGCGCAACATGCTACTCCAGGCTATTTGAGAGTGGAAAACACAGCTAGCCCATCTCACGCTTTGCTTTGCTTTTATGTGAGGCCATCAGCCCCTGGGAGATCGGTGCAGGGAAAGTGAGACTTAAAAGTGGTGTGTTGCCAGTAAATCAGGTGGGAGAAAAGGGATTACTTCAGGGAATGCAGTTAATTCAACCGATAAATACCAGAGAAGAGAGGTGATGAGAAGCGAGAAGTGGAACTGAGAGACAGAAACAGGAAAAGATATAGAGAGAGAGAGGGTGGAATACATGTACAGTGAGAAAGATGTGCTAGCCCAGTGGTCAGGTAAATAAACTGTTTACACAACTTCTTTAACACACACAGGCATGCATCAAAGGAGTGCCCCTGACTTATAATAGTTAGTCTGCCATTCTGCAATTAAATAGGTCAATTAAGAAGCGTTATTTTAAAACCTCATTTGGATTTAATAAGCCAGTTTGCGTAAAGATTTCTAGAGCAGATGGAGGTATAAAACTACAAGGTGTGCACTTATAATGTCCTGAAATAATGCTACTTTAATGAGGGTTATAATGTTCAATGTTGTTGAAATGTTGCCAGGATGATGCTGATTCAACTGAGACTAGATTTAGTGGCAAAACATTGGATTGCAATATACAAGGTAATCATGTTTTGTCCAATCATTTTACATACAGTGCTGGACTAATTTGACTTACAATGCAGAGTCATTAGCAACAGAAACATCATAGAGGTACTTGAAGAGCTTATATATGATGAATATAATTATATTGTACTTATCCTGTCAATCATATCAATGTATTCATTAATACATAGAAAGTATTTCAGTTTGAATATACATCTATACCTGAATATACATCTATACCTGTCATCATTAACATCACTAAGGATGTCCTTGCCCCTTGCACAGAGACACAGCCTCTGAAATATAAGGTCATGAAGCACAGAATAAAAGTGCTTCCCTGGTCCCTCGCCATACTTTCATCGGTCCACTGGATCGTCTCGCTCCTTGGCTTTGCTCCTCTACTGCTCTCTAAAAAGTGTCTCAGTCGGACATTAATAAGAGCAATGAATAGTGCTATGTGTCAGGAACTAGCACAGGCTGTGAGCGCTAAATTGGCTTTAGTGTGTCCAGCGAGCAGGAACAGGGGGGGGGGGGGGTGGGGATCACCTGCGCCCTCTCCGCTGGGCTGCACTGACCTCTGCAGCGCCGGCCACCTGCTACAGCCACACAGACACACAGGCCAGAGAATCTACTTTCCAGTGTATTAACAGTATTGTGTCAAATATTGTACAAAGGAAGGAAATATGCTAAAACGTTAAAGCCCAAATCCAAAATTCAAAATAGCTATATGCATGTCCTCTATTCAGCAGCATTGTTGTATTTAAATTTAATTTAAATCACAATAAGCATTTTAATTTTAGCTAGACTTACAGTTGCATTAGGAAGCCTAAACTGGCCCCAAACAACAACTTAAATCAAACAAATGGAATAAATGCCTCCTAATAGCTTAGTAATCCTCTCTCACTAGTAAAGCCCCCAAACTTAATTAGCAGGATGAAAGGTAATGTCCCAGCAGCATTGCCCCTACATCTCACCCACTCCCTTCATTAAATTACAGTCAGATGTTAGGTAAAGCCTTCTTTCTCCTCTGCCAAGACACTGTAAGCCACACAATTGGAGGTTAGTCAAGACTTTGCATTCATGTGGAGACGTCTCATTGAGTTACATCTCTCCATCTGGACTCAGTTTAGCCGTCATGCACACTTTCCCCTCGGGAAGTTTCATCTTATCTTATCTGTTTTTGTGTCACAGAGCCAGTGAACCGTGTTTGGTAAGCAAGTCTGTCCTCTTGAACTCTCTATCTAGGAAAGGCATAACGGTTTGAACTCTGCGGTCATTGATCGACAGGAATGAAGTGAACAACCGGTTGTTTATGCCTGCCACATAATTAACCCCTGACCTTGAGCATTCGTTCTTCGCTGGGAGTAATC